GGCCATAACCTACTGGTGTTAGCTAATAAACTTGAAAATTGACTGAGAACATAGGATGCTACTTTGGCACGGCATCATATTTTTCTGGTCGAACTCAAGTCATTTGTATGAGCTTGAAAAACATAAATTTGCTTGATTTATCTGAGGATTTAAATGTCCATTACAAAGAAAAAATAAGGAAATTATGATTTTTCTTTCATCGCCTTAGGCAGCTTTGTGATCTCATTTCTAGTTTGCAACCAATTTGAAAACTTTCCACCAGGATGAATATTCTTTGATTTAGTATGATGTATTTGTGACTGAGTAGAGGTCGGGATAATCTTGTCTATTTTCCCACTTCAATTGCGTAGTAGTGTCTTTGAAGAGCGAATCCCTTTTAAAAACCCGTTTCGTCAAGCTTTTCTAAAAAACAATGTATTCTGTCTTATTTATTTTGCCCTACATAACATCATTATCTCTGTCCTCGTTTTCGTGAGTATTGTCTCTCTCTTCTTTTGCCCATCCGCTTGTTTCGATCTGCCATTTGGTAAACTTCTTAAGCTTGCCCTTAATCACAACCTTGCTTGCACGCCTACCTATTTACACTTTCGTACGCCTGAAGGCCCGTTCGCACAAGTGATTACTTATGCACTTACGTGCACACACCTGCACGAACACACGAACACTCGGCCAAACATTTACATGCTCATGCTTTTTCATTCGTTCGTGAACGCATGTTGCGTGGTTTCCAGAAATGCCCCTGTATTTGAGTGCTATAACTCCAAGTCACACGACAAAAATGTAAGTTCGACTCAGATTAGATTTGCAGATGAGGTGGGATCTGGCAAAGTCGAAGGGAGTGGTTCTGGTCTTATTAACGCTGTCGAAAGCCACGATGGAGATAAACATTGCTTAAAGGGTTGTGGCTCAACCTGTCGGAGGGCCAGCATGGAGATACCAGAGCTTACCCCACAAGAACCGGGGGGATATTTTCCGTGTAGGAGAGCTCATTCCAGTTGCCCGGTGGGTGGCCAGTCGAGGCCTATATTGGCAGTCCACCAGCTAACGAGTGAGATGCCCCAGACAGAGATTATGGAAAAGACAGACTCAAATAAACAGAGTGGTACTGATCGAGAATCAAATATATTGCACAATGATTCCCGAGAGGCTAATTTAACTCGTCTCCGACGTTATCATTCACTTAGAATTCCAACCGAACCCTCAAAGGTGCAGAATGTTGAGCTGCTTGACCCTCATGAAAGCCTGAATGGCAAAAGCAACATCCCAAAAGTGCCCCATTGGGGCTATGTAGATCAACTAAGCAAAAGTCAAACCAAACTGTCCCATTTTCCGAGCAGTTCACTCTTAGGTGATCTGGATCGCGATTACACAACTTCTTCCGTCGTCTATTTGCCCAGCTCAGTCAAGACTGCTCACCATGCCTCTAAATTACATAGTGAGAACTTGAGCCATCCGGGATCAGTCCCTCTACAAGATACAAAAATGAATAACAGCAAAAATATTTCGGGATCCCGAATCACGGAAACCAAACATTTATGCTCTACAATCGATTCGGCTTTTTTCCATCGGCCTGTAGTTGATACTAGATGCGACAGCCAATACAACCTTACAGTTGCTTCAAAAATTGAGCAACAGAGGCCGGCCTCAGGTATAGGCATGTCCATGAAAAAGTACGGGGTTAATCCTGGTACAGAGGAAACTGCTGTTACTCTTTCAGTTACATCAAGGGATAGGCACTGTAGAAAATCAGAAGGCGATATTCTTGGGTCAAGTAATAATGTAGTTGGCTTTCAAGTGCAACGCCAACTGAAGGAAAGCCAACACTTCTTGCAAGCTTTTCAGAGTGATAAGCTTAGGCCACCGGGTCTTAATGCTCATGCTTTGAAAGGAAGACGAAAGCAGCCGTAAGTGAACTGAAATAGGCTAACTTCAATTTTATTATTTAGACAAATCGACAGAAACAAAGGTATCCTCGATGTAGGCTCTTAATTAGCTCATTCTAATTGTAGGTAAACTGTTTAATTTTAACGTTACAATATACATTTGTAGATACGAATGGTAACTGGGGTTTGAGGAATCTCCTGAAATATTATTGTTAAGGAGACCTTCATTGAAGAAGTGCATGAAGAAGCCATCTTATCAGGAGTGACGGCTGATTTCCCTTGTACTGCAGCCGTTTAGCTTTAATACAACATTCAGGCTGACGTAGTCCACGAGACATCCTATCTTGCTTCGGGTGAAAACTTTCTGAGCTTTTGTTCATAATATGATGGACAAGGCTAAAGAAAAACAATAACAAGCTACATGAATTAATTAGAACCAAAACAATCGCTTTCTGAGGTACTAATTGATGTAGATTTCCCTACGTTACAGGATATGGCTGACGGCTTAGGAGAAGACACGGATAGAATAACCAGAATACATGATAAGTGACTTAGGAACTAATGAATTCGAATTAGATCTAGAAACTTTTCGCTTTGGGTGGTTAAACGCTAATGACCCTAGATTGAGAGGTTAGAACTAGTGGTTTCGTAACCTGACTTACTCGCTTACAAGTCTACATTTCATTATATCAACCATACTTGCTTACGAACTTACGCAGTCTTGATCAGAGCCTTTTCATGAGTCCTTAAACCTTGATGGCCAGAGCGTATTGCTGTTAACACACACACACACAAACATCGATGAAAGGTAGCATGGCCTGTGTGTAGGATAATTAGCCAAACTATTCTATATCTATCCATGCCTATTCATTTTAGTTTCTTATTTATGAGGTATGATAGAGCCGGATATGCTTCTTGACCTAGTGTTAACGTGCAACTTTTACATTAATTAGTTCTAGCTCTAATCATGTCCATCATATGATGGACAAAAGCTCAGTCTGTTTTCATCCGATGCGGGGGAGCATGCCCTATGGACTGCGTCAACCTGAACGTCATATTAAAGTCAAACGGCTGTGGTATAACGGGAATCGGTCGTCGTATTCTGGCGAGATCAACCTACGAATTTCTTCTTCATGCCCTTTCATACGAAATGAAGGCCTCCCCAATAAGTTTTACTTAGCTTGGCCTAGGAATTGATTAAAAACGTTCATTCTGGCTGGTACAGTAGCTTATCAATCTAATTACAGTGAACTATCGCAAATAGGTTGTTTACCAGGATTTGCTACTGTATCAAATGGAATTCGAATAATAAGACAAAAATTGGCTTGCCGAAAGTCATTTATTGCTGAATATG